ATTCTAACAAAATGCAACAAACTAGCATAAGCCCTACAGAAGGGCTGGTGACTAAAGAGATCCTTCTTTGGGTATTCTCACAAGTAGACTGTAACCCCTCATTTATGTTTTAGGCACCAGCTTCCAGGCCTCGGGATACAACTTCAACACATACGACTGGAGGAGCCCGAAGCAGAGAGGCAGTTTGTCCCCGGTCACCAAGCCAAGAAGCCAGACATTCCCAGACGTGGGGCTGAGTAATGAAGAGTGGGACCGGCCCACCGCCTGTGGGTAAGGTGCTCGCCCCGGCCACCATGTCAAAGCCCACGCTGTGGTCCTTTAGGCCAGACCTGAACATCTACACTTCTAGGGGCACAGATTGTTGGCATGGGCCTCTTGAAGTGACCACCATGACCCATGTGCCATGCCTGCAGGCAGGACTCTAAGACGCATGGCTGTCTGCAGCCTGGGTGCCCCCACATACAGGGCAAGTGCTAGGTTCCCCTAATAAAATTGAAGTGGGGCTTGGCGAATAGATTTCTTCTATACCATGTGCCTGCACTTTGTGACAACTAGCTCCCCCTTCCACTCTTTTAAATGGTAATTTACCTTTTAGAGTTACATTAAAAATAATAACAAAACATTTTGAAGGCCCTGTATTTTTAACCCAGAAGTATGTTTTGTTACCTACCAAAGTATTTTAAGGAAATTCATAGACAGTCATTGCCCTTAATTGCTTTCTAATGATGTTTAAAATAAATGGAGAAAACATTTTTTTCGTCTTAGGTAAAATTTCAATTTAAATTCATCTTTCCCTATAGATGCAGCAGTGAACATATTCTCACCAGGGCCATATGGCTATACCCAAATACCCAAAGCTCGCCCAGCCATATCCAAGTAGTCTGAAATTCAGTTAGTAAGGCCATGATCCATCTTTGCTTTTTGTTGTTGTTGTTTTTTCCCACCCAACTCTGCATTTCCTAAAGCAACTTAAAGGGGCCCTGGTGCTGCAATAGTGGTATAGTGGTTACAAGTTGACCTGCAACCCACTAGGTCGGCAGTTCAAAACCACCAGCAGCTCCACATGGGGGAAATGAGGCTCTCTACTCCCATAAAGAGTTTCTGTCATGGAAACTCACGGGGGCTGTTCTTCCCGGCCCTACAGGGTCTGCCAAGCGTCAGCATCACCTTGATGGCAGTGTGTTTGGTCTGCGTGATTTTGGTGGTGCGGTACTAACTGCCTGGTTGTCAGTGGTTCAGACCTACGTAGCAGCTCCTCAGCTCCTTGGGGAAAAAGACCGGACAGTCTGCTCCCCTAACACCTACAAACAAACCACCAACACCCTAAACCACACTCACTGCTGTGAAGTCAGCTCTCCCTAGGGAGCCACCCTGGAAGAACTGCTCGTGGGGTTTCCGAGGCTGAACTCTTACTGACACAGCCTGCCACATCACTCCCCACAGAGCTGCTAGGGAGTAGACTCCACTGACCTTTCGATGAGTAGCCAAGTGCTTCAGCCACTGTGCTACCAGAGCCTTTCCCCGCCTAAATCTTACAGACAGCAAATCCTATGTGGCAGGGCTGTTCTGTCACCTTGGGTCATAGGAGTCAAAAATCTACTCCGAGGCACGCAACAACTGCGAGAACAATGCATCCTTCATCCTGTTGTCCTTGGGGGCCTTCGCCTCGGTTCTGACTCATAGCAGCCTTATGTCTAAGGGAAAGAAACGCCGCCCAGTCCTTCATCCCTCGCCTTCCTCACAAGTGTTCTTAGGTTGGAGCCCGTGTTGCAGCCACTGTGCCCACCCATCTCATTGAGGGCCTGCCTCTTGTTCACAACCCCTATACACAACCCTTCTCCAGGGGCTGGTCTCTCCTGACAACGTGGCCCAAGTGTGTTGGGCCTGGCTTTCCTTGGAGGCCACAGTCAAAGAAAGCCAGGCCCAAGCTGAATATCGCTTTGTTTGGTGTGGGAGGTCAAAGAGAGGGGTTCTGTCTGGCCAAACCACATGGTGAACATGATGAAGTCAGCTAACTGGTTGGTTCTGCATTTATTACAGCTCAAAGTGAAAGACAGACTAGGAAGAAAGGTCTGGCAATCTACTTCTAAAAATCAGCCCCCCAAACTCCATGGCTCACAGCATTTCAATCCTGTGGGACATAATGTCGCCAGGAACCAGCTAACAGCCAAGTGACAGGTGTGCCTACTGACCTCTGAGGTTGCACCTAATCCTGATAGACACTGATTCTGAGGAAGATCCTGGAGTCCACAAAGAGTTATAAGGTTCTAAGAGTACCCCCAAGCACCTTTAGAACTATACTGCTCACCCAGCTCTTTAATCAGTGCCTTTAAAAAGTCAGTTTAATCTACCAGGAAATCTTTCCAATGATGACATAACAATGGGAATCCTTAGGGGAAAATAAGGTTTATTTGTATTAAAACTTATCTTAAAGAGACGGGGGGGGGGGGAGCAGGATTCAAGGAAAGGAAGAAGAATTAGCTCTGTTTGGAACGTTCCTAACCCGGGCCGTGCTTCTGCACCAGCTTTGCAGGCGCCCCTGACAGCGTGGAGGCGGATCAAGAGGAGAACTTCTGGTCGCAGGCGCTGGAGGATTTAGAGACCTGCGGACAGTCCGGAATTCTGAGAGAACTTGAGGTAGCCTCGGTCCTGCTGCTTAATTTATGGTTTCTACATTCCTGTTTTTCTTTTTGGTCCTCTTCGGTTTGCATTTCTCACGGCAGTCATTTAAAAGCTGTAACCCCTTTCCACAGGAGAAAGCTGACAGGCGTCTGTCTTTGAGAAACATGACTCTCTTGGTACCTACCCTTTCTGTTTATACTGTTGCTTGTGAAGCTGCCTCCCCTCCCTCCCCACTCCCCTTGCCCTCTGGAAAGTGATTTGATTTTCTATAATGCAGTGGACAGTATTTCTTTCCCCATTTCTACCCACCCCCAAGCTGACTGACTTGTGGCTTCTGCCAGTGCTCGCTGCTAACCCTGACTGTTTCCCAGCAAAGCGCTCAGGAGCGAGCTAAGTCCCCCAGCAGTGGCGCATCTCATTCTCTCAGTTGCTTCAGAAAGGTTTCTTTGGCATGTTTTCATTTGTACCTGGTATAGAAATTAATTTGATCTTGATGAGGAACATAAGAGGAAATTTCATTCTTCTTGTTTCGCCCTTCAAGTTGATGCCAACGTAGCGGGTGGACAAGGCTGGTCTGTTTCATAAGCCGCCAGAATAACACCCGGTGCGTCCCTGGTCTTTGCAAACCTGATTCCACAGGCTCACTGAGTGTGAATTCGAGGAGGAATCAGATGGTGTGTAATAGCTAAGCTCCCGGCGAGTTCCTTAATCAAAGCCATGAATCTGCTGACGGAATTCACACTTTGGTCTAGGGAAGTCCTAGAGCTGTTTCCTTTTATGTTCTTTTAAATTTTCCGAACTGTAAAAAAAAAAAAGAAAAAACTCAACTGGCAAAAATCTCATTTTTATTTTGATGTCATATGGAGTCCCAAGTCACCATAAGGAATGTGAATGGCCTAACGGGGTGAAACTTGCAATTCTAAAATGATTACTCATCTTTGTATTATTTTGCTTTTCGGTTGCATGTGTGAACATTTTACGTGATTCTACTGTCTGTGAATCTGCAAAGAGAATATACAGAAAAACATGACTTTGGGTTTGTAAACACCCTCGTCCGACCTGGCATGAATTTCAGCTTCAGGGCACAGTAAAAGGAACTGGAGATGGATAGCCCTATAAAGCTTTAGTAAATCAAGATATTAGCGATTGATTCCTTCTTACGCACGTTTCAAAATGAGTAGAATGTTTATGTACCAGGTGACTTATTTAAGCTCTTACCACTTCCTGTACGTGAACTGAAGAAGAGCCCTGGTGGCAGGGTGCACTGCACAGTGAGCTGCTAAGCTCGGGGTCAGCAGTTCCGATCTACCGGCCACCATGGAGGAGAAAGATGAGGCTTTCTGCTCCTATTAAGATCTGCAATCTTGGAAACCCAAAGAAGCAGCTCTTCCCGTCTCACAGGGTGCCTCTGCATTGGCCTTGGCTCCACGGTAGTAGGGGATGTAGAATGATCAAGAAATGGGGCCCAAACCCTTAAAAGAGAACAACTAACGCTATCTGCGCATGCATGCCCATGCTTCTGACGGCATCTTTTGACTCATATGCCTTCTTCCTTTTGTATTCTGATACTTTTCTTCTGAAGATATTCTTCTAGTACCTTCTTTTACGGAGCAGAAAAAGATGATGTAGAATGGAGCAAGTTGTTTTCACCCTGAAACGGAATCATCGCATGAGCCAGACGTGGCCCTTAAAATTATAATTGCAGAAAGGAAATCGGTTGAATTTATAAAGCAAAGAAAAATTAAAATACTCAGCTAAGACAAATACTATCAAATACATAACTAATTTAGTCTTATAATTTTATGATGAAAAATATTCAGCAGTACTTTAGTACTTTAAAATCCACAGATTCCCAAACGTATTTGGTCTACCGCCCCCTTTTAAGGAAAAAATTACTAAGTGGCTGCCTGGCAATTTAAAACTATTATACTGTGGCCCCTGATCCAGGATATAGTATAGGTATCTGGTTTTGCAGGCCCCCTCCGCTCCCTCCCACCAAAATCGTTCCGAAGCTCCCCTTGGGACATGTCACACACACTGGGGAACCCTGGTTTCAGCGAACTACCACCCTTTGGTTAGGGATGTGATTATGTAAAAATAAATTTTAAAATATTGGAGCTAAGTTCCTGTATATAAAATGTATATCCAGTATTTAAAATTAAATCACATTATCACAGCAATAAATGCAGAAGATTAGCTAAGACTTAAAATGATTAGAATTAACATGAAATTTAGTTACTTTATTGCTAGCAATAATTTTGATTCAACTTTAACTTTGAAAATGCATCATTTTCACAAAGGAGAAAAAGTCTTACTGTAGAATTGGGTAAGTTGCTTAGCCTCTCCTAGCAGATATGAGGGGCTTCAAAAAGTGTGTGGAAAAATGGAATTAAAAGATGATGATGTTTTTCCACAAACTAAAGCCCCCTCATGTTTATTCATCTCTAAAATGGTAGGAGTGTAGTGATCTAGTACTTATATGGCATTTAATCCAGTAAACTCAAAAACTCACTACCGTTGAGTTGATGCCTACCATAAGAACCCTATGACAAAGTATATGATAATAATTTTATCACAGCACATGATAATAAATGTTTAATGAAGATTAACTCTATTATTGTTACAATCATGATACAAGAACAGATATTGATGAATTACACAGAAAAAAAGCAAAGGCCATGCACACTATGCCAAAGTAAATCCTAGATCATCGAAACTATTTTTAACTTTTTATCTTAGTTTTTATATATCTATTTGTATTTTAATTTTTGTATTTATTTGCAGATAGCACGAATTCACTTGAAGTTCACATTTATCAAAGCTCCCAAGCCGTGCTTTAAAAGCTTGAACTAACAGTCCCATTATACCCCACTTCTGATCAGTTTATAACTTCTTCTGTAGCTGCTAAGGCTTGTGTAGCTGGACAATTGTCTGAACGACGTCGCAATTAAGGGTTTTACTTTCAACGTGTTACCTGCTGGTCCCATGAACAGATGAATTTAAAATATAGATTATTAATGAAGCAAATACAATTCACCTAAGTAGGTAAAAGCAATAGATGTTGGTCCCCAACGCAGGGAAGCACTCATTGGGTGGTGGCAGCTATAGTACATTCAATGAAGGGAGGATATATGTGAGTTAGTACCATTTTTTTAAATGCCCCCAAACACCAATAAAGCTAGTAATTGAAAAGTTTCCATAATTTTATAAGGAGAGTTTATCAGAAATAAACCACGATACAGATAATAACCCCTACGTTTACTTAAATGTTACATTGAACATATGAAATTGCTGATACTCTATGGTTTTCCTGGTCTATTAAAAAGGCTATTTATATGGCTCAAAATAAACCCTGGAAACAGTATTTATAGTCCGGTACTCAAAAGCAAGAGTTCTGGTTTCAATCGCAGAGTCTGGGGCAAGTTGCCCAATTAATAAAAAAGCCTCCCCTTTCCTTAACTCAAAGGAAAGGCATTTGTAATCCCTACCACCTGGGGTTAGCATGAGGCTTGACTGGTAGTCACCTCCCTGCTCATGGTAATGCTCAAGGATCCCTAAGATTTTGATGTTTGTTTGTTTGTAATAATAGGTTTTATTTTCAAAAGTATCAGGGAAATAATTCATCTAGTCAGGAAACTGATATTTATTTGGCAGTTCAGCTTGGCTGGGTTTATATCCCTGTGTGCCAGTCCTTGGCTCGCATTCAGAGTACCTTATGAGTAGTATGTGCCTAGCTGGACACCCAGGGAATCGTGGAATGATAAGCTCTCAGAGAGATGACAAATGAAAGTCTGCTAACTCCTTAGTGGGCCCTCAAGAGTCTTAGAAAGTTTTCTTGGTTAGTGACCTCAGGTCAGTCACTCTCTTTGTACCTGAGTTTCCTCACCTGTAAATCAGAAGGAGCCACAGGACCTAACTCACCGTGAAGCTGTGAGGCTTAAATTCAAATTAGTAGTCAACAAATCAGGCTTCTATTATTAGTTGCATCAGTGTTAATCAGTAGACAAGTAACGCATGGAGCCAGTCACAATCCGAATGGGCTTCCGAACACTTGTGGCGAAATGCCATGTTCTTTCTCTTCTGGTTTCCCACAAGTTTTTCAAAGCGCCCTCGTATAAGGTGGTCAACTTTGGGGAGAATCTTTCTCCTCTGTACCCGTAACCCTTTCCAGGCAGTTGTTCACAGAAGTTGGAGGAAACATGAAAAAGAGGCAACCTGACCCCCACCGAAAAGTGCCTGGTTCATTTAGGTCAGCTGCATTGATGGTGGCCCCACGCATCCCATCGGGGGAGCCCACTCCACGCAAAGCGAATGCTTAAAATGTGGTCTGCAGTAAGCAAACATTCGAGCTTTTCAATTTGCCTCCACACTGCCAGGGGTGGTATTTGATTAAATAAACTCAGTGGCTTACGTACTTAAATTAGATTTGAGATGTGCCTTATAAATATCACTGGTGAAGCATGTTCCCAACCTTTCGTACTTCAATTAGTACATCCATTCTCCAGCCTTTGGCTATGCCCTGAAGAGTGTATTTGGACGGGGCCCAGGGAGAGATGTGCTTAATGTTGAGCAGCCGGGCCGCGCCTTCCGTCTGTGCCTTAATTGTCTCTGAACGTTGTCGATGCCGCAGGCAACAATCATGTCGGGGAGCACGATGAGCTTGAATCACGAGGCCCCCACACCTCGCAGCCAGCTGGGGCGGCAGGCCAGCTTCCAGGAACGGAGTGCCTCTCGGCCGCACTACAGCCAGGCGGCCCGCAGCAACACGCTGCCCTCCGACGCGGGCAGGAAGTCTGTCACCCTGAGAAAAACGAAGCAGGACAGAAAAGACGTCATGTCTCCAACTCCGGTGGAGCTGCACAAGGTCAGTACACTTCCTTCTCCTTCCTTGGGGTCGAATGTCGCAGCCGGTCGGCACAGGGAGGGAGCGTCCTGATCTAAGGACGCTGAGGACGTCTCCACGTTTCTCCGTGGGCTCAGCCAAGGAAGGGGGCCAGAGCTTAAGGAAGGATCTGCAAACGCCAGGGCCTCTGGGATGTGATTCTGGAAAATCAGTGTCAGCTGGCTCTCAAGCAATGTGTTCACCAAAAACGTACTGACCTATATGTAAAAAAGAGGAACCCTAACTTATATATTGAGTTCTATCTAATATATAATCGTAGAATGTCTTAGGTAGTATGAGATATTGATAATCTGTTATCATGTATAATCCAACTCAAACACATCACTGCTACTGAGTCAATGCCAACTCATAACAGCCCTATAGCGCAGGGTAGAACTGCCCCTGTGAGTTTCCAAGACGGTAGAGGCTTCTAAGACTAGAAAGTGCCATCTTTCTCCCTCGGAGCAGATGGTGGTTTTGCTGTTGACCCTGCAGACCCCAGCCCAACATGTAACCACTATGCCACCCAGGCTCGTGGGGATGTGGAGAGCGGCATGTGACTCAGGAGGGCGGGCGCAGGACAGGCCTCCTAGAAATCGGTGCTGACCATTGCAGAAGAAGGTGGAAGATGGGGGTAGGCTAAGCACAAAGAGAAGCATGTGCAAAGAGGCATCAGAGATCGGGGTGCACTGGGGGAATGCACATATTTCAACAGGGCTGGAAGTGATCATTTAAGTGGAAGCTCTAGAAACCCAGAGGCTAGAGAGAGCAGGGTGGGGGAAGAGTGTCACGTGCCCAGGTGATTAAGAGCATGGGTGCTGCCGTCAGGTTGGCTTATCTCCAGTGAGTAGCCCAACCTCCCTGTGAAGTGAGGGTAGTGATCATGCCTAATGCCTTAGGTGGCTGTGAGAATCCCAGCAGTTAGCACCTATAAAGAGCTTACAGCAGCCAGGACAAAAGTCAGCGTGTGATGAATGTCCTTGCTGTTACGAAGACGCTGATGTCCTACCCGGTTAGGACATTGCGGTGAAAGCCTGGGATGTCTTTGAAGAGGAGGAGAGACCTGGTGAGATGTGGGTTTAAAAGTGTGTGTTGGTGACTGGAGGCAGCAAGATGAGTTCCGTGAATTCAAAAATAATATGGGGAATGGCACACATCATTCCAGGTTAAAAACAACAAATAAATCAAGTTATTAGAAAAAAGAAAAACTTCACTCTTCCAGTAGATAGCTTCAAACGCAGGGTGATCCAGTACTGAAGAAAACAGATGAGGGATCTGATCGCTGGTGCAAGCAGTTCAGGTACTCAGCTGCTAACTGGCAACTTGGAGGTTCCGGTACACTCAGAAGTGCCTCAGAAGAAAGGCCTGGTGACCTGCTTCTAAAAAGTCGGTCCTTGAAAACCCTCCCAAGCACGGTTTTACTCTCACACACGGGATTGCCATCAGTTGCAATTGCCATCAGCACCAGTTGGCTTTTGTTTTTGTTTTCTGTTCTCGTGGACTTAGATTCTACTGGATAAAGCCATTTTAAGAAGGACATATAAATGCTATAGGACACAGTATTTCTCAGTTGGCTTTTGTTAATGTAGCTCACAGATTACCTGGTATCCCCTCCCTCACCTAGAAAATACTCTGAACTGATATTGGCTCTGTAAACTAGACTGTAAATGCAGAGTGGACATCCAAGGCTAGGAAGCTACTTACTTGTCCAGCCACACACTGCTCCCAACAGAGGGCCAGCTGGAAAGGAACCGGGTGTTCTCCCACACCTGTGTTGAGTTGTATAGTTACATCATTCAATAGCTATTGCTTGACTGATATGTCAGAGGGGCAGAGAGAAAGTTTAGGGGGGTTGTTATTTTTTTAAGAGAACTAATTTCAATGCAAAGGGGCATCCTAAACAGGGGTGCATTCGCGCCTACATGCATGCACACTCACAGATAATTTTATGGAATTATGTACAGGTCAGACAGTTGGGAAAGGATTCGGGGGGCAGGGTGATATCTAGAAGGACTCTCCATTTAAATTGCAAAGTCCTTTTAAGGAATCCCAAACTGGAAACTATAGATTTTAAGGAACCCCAAACTGGAAACTATAGATGATCGATTCTGGTTGAACTTGGTTTCTGAAAAAAAGGACTGTTTATAAATCCAACCGAATTACATTCAGCTCACCAAACATTTGTGAAGTACTTGCCTATACCTGAAGAGCTCAGGTGGTACAGTAGGGTGAGCACTGGGTTGCTAACCTCAAGGTTGGCAGATCAAACCCATTAGTTGATCATCAGGAGAAAGAGGAAGCTCTCTGTCCCTGTAATGATCTGCAGGCTCAGAAACCGTAAGGAGCACTTCTCTGACGTCCAGGGTGGCTGTGAGTCAGAATAGACTCTGCAGGAGTGGGCTTGGTTTTGGCTTGGCTTTGCCTCAGGGCTGTGCCACGGAGCGAAGCTGGGTAGAGAAGGCTCAGTACAGAGCACTATGTAGGTGCACAGCCAGGGTGGCATCCCACTTTGTCTTGCCAAACAGGGATTAGGAGAACGGCAGGCTAAGAGAATAGGGAAGAGGTTTCTGACATTTTCAGGTAGACATTGTTCATCCTGCATTGCTGGGTCCCCTTGGTAAGCGTCTGTCTCGCTGTCACGTGTCTGGAATGGCAAACACCTCTAGGCTTCCAGGCTCACTCTTCTGGGTGAAAAGGAGGGCTGGCACCTCTTGACTCCCTCCCGCCTGTGGACGTGGTCTTCTCCTCCCCTCGAAAGCTTCTGCTGCCCAGACAGGAACGAGCAGGCAGGGTTCACCCTCTGTGAACCAAAGGGAAAGGATATCAGGATGTGCCGATACCTGAAGCCCAAACACGGACCCTGATGCCTGTCGTCCCTTCCAACACCACGCGCTGCAGCGGTGGACAGCCCCATAGGGTGTTCTTGGCCATCACCTGACGTGTGGTCCTCAGGAGCGCAAACAGATGGTACTACTAAAGGCTGCAGGCACAAACATAATCAGTGGCACTGTGGAAGAAAGTCCTGGAAATTGGCTCTGGTCAGTATTGAAAACAAACAAACAAGCAAACAAAAACCCATTGCCAAAAACCATTGTACGAGAGCAGTTCACCAGGCTCTCCATCTGCGGTGCTGCAGGAGGGCTCTCAACAGGCAGCCGTTAGGGTAGCATGGAGTCAGAGACCACTACACTGACACTTGTCGCAAAATTCAGTAAAAGAGAAAAAAATCAATGATGCTGTGAAAGGATACGGAGAGATCAGAATGCTTCTCTGTCACTGGTGGGACTATAGAATTGTACAACGGTGGGAATCTGCATGGCACTCCCTTAAACCAATACCTTAAGATCCAGCCATCTCTCTCCTGGATGTATACCCTACAGGAGAAGGCAACAGATACAGGCATGTTTGTTTATTGCTGCAACTTCCATAATAGCAACAACCAAACACTTTGATTATCGAGGAATAGATAAACCAACTCTGATGCATGTATACAATGGAATATTATGCATCAATTAACAAAATAACGTGGTAGTTAATGAACAATTATGTTGGACATGATTGAAAATAAATAAACCATAATAGCTCTCAAACATCACAAGACATGGATAAACCTGGAGAACATTATATGTAGCAGAGGGTCTTACAAAGATTTTTAGTTTACAAACATTTAGATGTACAGTTATTTAATAACACAGCTGTTATAAGGAAACACTAAGGAAAAGGAACGTGTTTTGTTTTGTTTTTTTCAAAAGAGAAGACGCTGAGTGCACAGAGGAGCTGGGGGGGAACAGGGAGAGGAGAGGCCGGATATTGAAGGGGGAGGGAGGGGGGAGAGAAAGAGAACCAAATATGTGGAGGGTCTAATGGATCTTGTTGATTTGCTCTTTTGAGGTGGCTGTGTAACTGTGTACAATATGGTTCTTTCAAAGCCAAAAGCCAGATGTATCTCCTCCAGATTCCTTACCCTTGGACCTAATATTGTTCTGAGTGGTTAAAAAAAAAAGGAAAACTGAAATGAACTTGGAGTTTTGTATGTTTTCCTGGAACATTTATTCATTAAAATAAGTTACGTAACCATGTGGTCAATGCTGTCGATTGAATGGTCTGACCATACAAAGCCTCCGATTTAAGGGGTTGAATCTTTTTGAACTTGGAGTCAAACAAAGTTAGTGACAAACAAGTTCATTTCCAACATTGTTATTTTCAAATTAGATTAGCAGTTGTGTGGAAGCCATCTGTGCTATGTGCGGAGAGCCTCAAAAGCCCGACTGGTGGGGAGTGCATTCTGTCCGGCTCGTAACAAGCCTAGAGGACAGAGACCTGCTTCCAAAGGTCTCCAAGCTGTAACGCTCGATGCCGCAGCCTGCCACCACTTTCTCCCACAGAGCAGTGGGTGGGTTTGAACCACCGACCTTTCATGTGCTTCAACCACTGTGCCACCAGGGCTGCTTCTTGAGTGTCTCCTCTGTGCTGAATGTATTTGAAGCCCTCACAACATCTCTTCTCTGCTATACCTTTACCCAAACCACTGCTGTTACGGTGATTCCGACGCATAGCAACCTTATGAGAGACTAGTGCCCTGCACTCGGTGAGTTGACAACAGCAACCAGACGGCACGAGGTCAAACCACCGGCCTTTCTGGTTAGCAGCCGAGCACTTCCCCACGGTGCCACCAAGAGCTCCCTTCTCGTCTCTAGAACAGGGCCAAAGGAAGCTTAGTGGTAGCCCGTGGTCAAAGGGCCTGTCTCTTCCTCCCTCCTTGCAGTGGGGGGCGCTAAGCAACCACGACAGGAAACCAGATGGGCTCTGTGCTAAATATCTAATTTGTTTTAAAACTCACTTACCGACAGAATGGGTGGCAGTGGGCAGGCAAGCTGGAAGAATTGTGTTGTGAGCATCCACTGGGGGGGTCATGGGAGGCAGCAACCAGACCTATGGAACAGGATGCGCTTTCTCCTTGTCCGCTGCCACTCTCCCTCCGC